TGCGGCCGAGAGCACTCAAGCAAGCGAGCAATAAATAACTGTAGCGATTCCGCTGCAGTCGCTCTTTAGCAAAAACGAAATCACACAATTCACGGGACGATGGTTCACATTTAACTTGATAAATTTCTCCGGCTCGCTTAACCCATTCGATCGTCATGAAGCGAGGAGTTTAGCTAAAACCCGCTCAATCGTAATAACCGGTAATATAACCCAATTGTTCCAACGCATCCGCACAGTTAAAAAGTCTGTCAGAATAAGCGAACAGCTCATTGCTATTGGGTTGTATCACCCCATGTCTGGTGACACCAACTAATAAGGTTGTCACTAACACGTGTCTCTGACCAAACCGTTCTTAATAATAATAATAATAATGGTATATTTCACGAAGCCCGTGAAGCATGCTAGTGTGCATGATCAAATGTACACCAATGTAGAAATGACAGTGGAGACAAAAATTAATAGTACAAAGTGTAAGAACGTAAATTCCAAAAGGGGACGAAAGATATCGCAAGTGTGCAATGCGGTCAAAATAAAACACAGCCGACAAGATCTTATGATGGAGCACTGGGGTGATCGGATATGTAGATTAAATCATTGTAATCGTTTGTCGTATGAAAAACAATTGGCAAAACACAGAACTGGAAGTTGGAATATTCACTCAAGAGAAAATAAGCAGAAACGAGTTCGAAGAGCAGGTGTATAGTGAAGATGAAACGTTCTTGATTTCGAAAGAAGCGCTGCAATCGAGCTGGAGAAGGGCAGAGTTATTCAAGATGAGACGCCACATGGCTTATGAATAAACGGTCGATACAATTGGAAATGCTTCTGTGGACGCGGAACAAGGGGCTTCGGGGCTTCAGGGCTTCACCGTTAACGGATTGCTTGGTTTGTATTATTTATATTATTTAGGCGTAGGTCACTTTGATGTGGGACTGACTACATGCTAGACACCTAACCTTAAAACACCATGTAGGTGAGGCCGGGGGTGTGTTCCTCAACCTGGTCCGGAATGCGGACGCATGTAGTCAAGGCCGTAGAAACAGCCGCACCAAACAAACCTTGCCGGAGACAAATTGTCCATTGTGGGCGTAGATCCCAAGCCTTCGTCAGGCCCATACCAACCAAATCTGAAACGTAATGATGAAACTCAGCAGTCTGGGGTAATAACCAGCTGAGAAGGGAATAAGGGGAACACAGCATGTTACGTAAGAATATGCAGAAAGCGTAAAGGCCCGAGAGTATACACATTTATATATATATATATATTTTATATAAATGCGCACTGATAACACAAATCACAACGAGATAAGTTGGAAACTGTAAACTGCCCCCTGTTTACTTGTGTCACCCAGTTGAGATGGATCGGATGGGTAGACATGGGGGGACGGACCGAAAACGGTGGAAAATATAGGCGAACACATAATTTAGGTTTCCACTGATCAAGCTTTGAAGATCGACCAGTGTACTGATTATAAACGGGTTGAAACTAATACCTTGGCTGCCTGGTCAGCATGTGTCACGGAGAAGAAATGAATCAGATGAATAGAGATGAGAGAACGAACCAGAAACTTTGAGAACCATGAGTGACAAACCTGGAATAGGTTTCCACTTGAAAAGTTTTTGTTCCACTGATCATGCTTAAAAGCTTGACCAGTGTACTGCTTAGAAACGAGTTGAAAAGTGAACACTGTTGACCAGTCAGCATTTGCCACTGAGAGGAAATGGATCAGACGGGTGGACATGTAATATCCTTCTAGCTCGTTTATAACCCTCTAAAGCAGGATATAGTAAACATCCTTGAATAACCTCTCTGGCCTTTCCTTGAAAATAATTTTACAGGTGCGTGAGCCTCTGGCCAACTATTGACCCAGCAAACAGATCCCTTAGTTTCTACCGGAACGTAGGGAGTGTTCGAAGTCAAACCGGTAGGATCTGCCAAGGATCTTGGGGTGGTAATGAAGTCAGATTTCAGCTGGGGCAGCCAATGCGAAATCGCAGCTCGCAAGGCACGGGGAGAACTTTTCCGGCTCAGATCTGCTCTTTCTTGCAGAAAACCGGAAATCTTCGTCCCGTTATACAAGGCGATAGTAAGGCCTCATCTGGAATACTGTGTCCAAGCCTAGGCACCCCTGCAGAAAAAGGACGCTGTCTGCCTGGAGAAAGTGCAGAGACTAGCTACAAGAATGATAGAGGGACAGAGGGGTAAATCGTACCAGGAAAGGTTAAGGGACCTCAATCTATTCTCGCTAGAAAGGAGGCGAATTAGAGGAGACCTCATAGACGCGTTCAAAATTAGGGGGGGTTTCTCTGGGATTCCCCCTGAGGAACTCTTCTTTGATGCCCCGTATGCTGGTACCAGGGGCCACGAGCACAAACTGATGAAGAAAAGAAGTAGGTTAGGTGTGAGGTCCAACTACTTCAGCAATAGAATAGTAAATAGGTGGAATAGACTACCTGAGGAACTAGTCAACTTGCCTAGTATCCACGCCTTCAAATTGGCTTTGGATAAGAGATGGTTAGAACTGTTTCCGAACGAGGAATACTGAACAGAATGCGACCATTAAGTTCATAACTTTTTTTTCTGTATGCCATATGGAACGCATTCACATTAAAAGTCTCTCGCCGACACGGCGAGAAGTAAGGTTTCTCTTTCGCTCTGTTTGCAGATAGGCGAAGAAACCGATCGTTTGAAGAGGTGGATGCACACTCGTGAGCACACCACCGAAGGAATTCTGGACGCTTGATTGGCCTGTGGCCACTACCAGTCCTGTGCAACCTGACCTGACCTGACCTGACTNTTAAGGGACCTCAATCTATTCTCGCTAGAAAGGAGGCGAATTAGAGGAGACCTCATAGAAGCGTTCAAAATTAGGAGGGGTTTCTCTGGGATTCCCCCTGAGGAACTCTTCACTGATGCCCCGTATGCTGGTACCAGGGGCCACGAGCACAAACTGATGAAGAAAAGAAGAAGGTTAGGTGTGAGGTCCAACTACTTCAGCAATAGAACAGTAAATAGGTGGAATAGACTACCTGAGGAACTAGTCAACTTGCCTAGTATCCACGCCTTCAAATTGGCTTTGGATAAGAGATGGTTAGAACTGTTTCCGAACGAGGAATACTGAACAGAATGCGACCATTAAGTTCATAACTTTTTTTTCTGTATGCCATATGGAACGCATTTACATTAAAAGTCTCTCGCCGACACGGCGAGAAGTAAGGTTTCTCTTTCGCTCTGTTTGCAGATAGGCGAAGAAACCGATCGTTTGAAGAGGTGGATGCACACTCGTGAGCACACCACCGAAGGAATTCTGGACGCTTGATTGGCCTGTGGCCACTACCAGTCCTGTGCAACCTGACCTGACCTGGCCTTCGTCAGACACCCTACTTGCGATAAGATCGTTGAACTGCCTGCAGAATAGAATGTACTGTGTGGGTGATCCATCGAAATAAGGAATCTCACACCTAAGCAGCTCGAGTTGATTAAGTAGGAGTTCAATCCTGCCCAATTCATGGTCTGAGAAATCAGTGAATCTGGATTTTACCCCCAATTATACAGCTGTATTACAAACATTCTCATGTGTAACGCTATCTACATAGGTCCAGTGACATCTTGGATAAACGCTGTCTATATTATAAGGTAACCGAACAGTTTTGATAACGTCTGTCCTATCTTTATGGCGTAACCTCTCAGCAGCTCTACTTTTGACTGCTACCACTCTACGCATCGCTTCTGCTGCCTCTAACTCCAGTTAGGCACCTTTCAGCTCCAACTTGACGTCACTATGAAGATCAACATTGTCGTAGTCTCGGCAACAATAATCAGACTTACCAGGGGCAGGTGCACCAGCAGCATCAGGCTGAGACTCGTATTCTGAAGAATCGTGACTGAATGGATCCATAGCACAAATAGATAAGGAGAAATAAAGATAACGGTGGATCGCTCAACGGGAGCAAATTCACCTAATCCAAACAAGTGTGACAGTTCAATCTAAGTCACCGCTACAAGGAGGCAATCGGATGAGCAATAGATATAAACACAGATATGTTTGCCTGGCAAAAATCCAGTTATTGTAAACAAATAATTGGTACACGAATCCTGAGCTCGTAAGTTTAGTACGCGTATTAAGTTAGACCAACATAGAAATCTAGGCAGAACGTGCTTGAACTTCGCAATAACGATCACTCCTCAAATGGAATAGACAAATTCCCACGCGATATCGACGATCAATCCCGAACTGGAAAGAACGTGTTCTACCCAATAACAAATAATGATCCCTAGGAACCGAAACCGACGAGAACGTGCAATGAAAACACGAATACAGATGATAGATCTCGACGTTTATACGATATCTAAAACACATTAGAATAAACTGTACAAAACAAAAAACAACATACTTGGATGTATGCTTAGCCAAGCAGAACGCAGAAGACAACGAACGAAATGTACATCAAGCTCAACCGAGCTGACCGAGCAATATGTCCCGGGTCGAACGTCGAAAATGTTATGCTGGAACCTTTAAACAAACAGGATGTTACAAGTGGCAAAGAGTTGAAATGACAGGAATAGAAAAGCTTTCACTTTAACTACGGTGCATCAGCTGCCGTTACAGGGGCTATACCTGGACTCTGAAGGTTGGAGGAGGAAAGAGACAAATTCTAAGGGGTAACAGCAACTATTAACTTGTTGTTGTAGCTCTGCTCCAACGGCTACGTCAGAGGCGTTAGTGACCACTGACAGAGGTACTGAAGGGTTGGGCTTTTCAATAAAAGCTATTTTGTTGATAGCTTCCTTGATCGAGACAGAAGCAGTATTAGCTGTGTCCGGAAAATCAAACTTCCATTTGTTTTTGCGCAAGAGGTCATTTAGGAGGTGCATGATCTCTGCGCAAGATGGTATTAACCGGAGGTAAAAGTTTTCTATCCCAGCAAATTGTCGAAACTGGAGATCGGAGGAAGGTTTGTGGAAATCGCGAATGGCGTTGTCTTTATCCGGCAAGTTCGTGATGCCTGCGGCTGCGGAAGCGTGACCGAGGAAGTTGAGGGTGGGCTGACCCAATTTGCATTTATTGGAGTTAACAGTAAGACCATATTTCGCGAGACGCTCGAAAAGGGCGCGCAGGTGTATCCTCCGTTGTTCTTTGGAACAACTCTCCGCCATGATTTCATCAAGGTTCACGTATACATTATCCAAACCGCGGTTTATCTCGCGCATGAACCTTTGAAAGGTTTGCGCGGCACTGCTCAGTCCAAATAGCATACGGAGGAACTCAAACAGGCCGTAAGGTGTCACTACCGCAGTTTTGGGAATGTCTGCCTCTGCCACCGGAATTCGGTGGTATGCACGGACCAGGCCGATCCAACTAAATATAGTAGAGCCAGATATGGAGGAAGTAAGATCCTGTAAGTGTGGGAGGGGATGTATTAATCGATCTGTGAAAACCCTTCCTGTAATGCCCAGTCAATCTATCTCTGTTCCACATTTGGTGAATTTCACGTTCCATTTACTCAACACCACCCGCCTCAAACATACATAAACATTTGACATTCCACTCCCTTTGTATATTTACACATCGATTCTACCATTTGGTTTTGTTTGTTTATCTGCTTCATTCGTACCCTACTTGTTTTAATCGCGACCTGAGCGCTCACGTTTGCCTCGTGCAGCATGACGGTGAGCATGCTGTTCTTACACAGGCTTATTTTCTTCCGTTCAGATTTGTTGAATCGCGTTCACGGTGACACTTGGCTTTTGTTTTCGAGTTGTTTCGAGATCACTTTGAGGTTTGTACAGCTTTTATTTGCTTATTTGGTCGTTTATTAATGCAGTACCGTAGAACCTTGCTGGATCGTTCGTTTTGTTGAAATTTATGGATTCGATTTCGGTTACGCATTACTCGTTGATCTATTTGAGAGAAACAGGGGATACCTATCTGAGACAGTGGCTCGGTTAAGGACTCTATAGTCACTGCAAGGACGCCTGGCACTATTGCTTTTTGGATCAGATGAAGCGGGGCGGCCCAGGGGCTGTTTAAAGGACCAATGATTACCAGTTTGAGACTGTAATCGAACTCTGCCCTAACTGCCTTCAGCTTGTTCGATGCCAGACGATGTGGTCTTGCAAACACCAGGGGACCCTTTGTTGAGGATCTAGTGAGGGACATTGGTTATCACCTGAGGGACAGGGCCTTCCGAGTGCATAATGTTAGGAAATGTAGCGAACAGGTAGCCTCACGAATACTTAGGGAGCAGTTCGATGCGGCACGACGTGATAAAGTTCACGGAAGTGTACAAACCGGTTACAGATTTTCGTACAGCTGTCTACTAATCCCCGGCGTTTGGGGTCAACTATAATGTCAAAAGAACTTACAGCGGAAAGTGCGACGTAGACCGAGGTTTAATGTTATGGACTTTAGGCCATATGTAGAAATGTGGGTACCATTCGCAGCACGAAGTTGACAGGACGTGGGAGTGATTGGGTAACCAGTTTTCGGCGGGATACCACTAACTTTCTTACCTGTGTTAATGAGGAATTGAGTTTTGCTGGTAAACTCCCTAACGTGAATAAAGCCACTGCTTAGGGAACTACAAACCGAGTTTGTCGCCACAGCTGGTCGGGTGTTCGGTTTCCCTGGTTTGCGCCGGGGAGTGCATCCAGCTTGGAGCCCTCGAGCTTTGGCAACATATTTTCAATAGTATCTGCCGTAACCTATAGGGCTAAGTGCGAGAGTACTTTAGGATGATGGAAAACAATTTTGGGATCTGGAACGTGATGCATTAAGGTCTTTGTTGGACAGACGGTCGATTACTCGACCCATCATGTCAAGGAGTTTGACCATTCTGTTCTCCAGTGGAGAATAAGGGACTACACGGGAAACCATGCTAAAAGTGGTTATGTCAGCGGACACTGGGGTTTGAGCCACGACGGACACCTGGAGGGTGAAAATGAAGCATTACCACATCGGCAATGGATGCTGCGACCGTCAGAGGGGATTAACGGGCAGACGCCACAAATGTTTGTACGTCTGCGTTAGTTGCTGCATCCACAGCTCTCATGATATTCTCACTGATAGAGAACGGTCCTATCACTTGCTGCATCGCGCGCATCAGGGCAGTTGAGGTGCAACCCCAGAGTGACCGGTCTTTAAAAAAACGCTGTGCGCACTCGATGTCGGAGGGCGAGGTTCGTATGATAACAGCCTCTTTTAGGAAGGATTATTTGGGATGATCCATTATAATGATAATACCCTGCATTTGCTAGGTTATATCATAGGGGAGCCTACTGGTTTTACGATTCGTCTTATCACGATCGGTGGTAATGCCGGCTTTCTCGAATCCAACTTCCAGAGGCAGGAACCAGAAGCATGGGGTGGCTGTGATGAAATCAGGGGCGCGGGTAACCACGCCGACGATGCTAGAGTCATCCTTTCCCATTGAAGCTGGGTCTAGCATGTCATCGTGGCTCATGTTATGTACTAAATATACCGGCTAAAATGAGGAGGTTCTCCCGTAAAATAAATAATAAAAATAAATTAATCGTGGATACACGGGTGAATTCACCGGTGACTCTTGAAACTTGAATCTGAAACATTCGGGTTCAACAATTTGTCAAAGAAGCACTGGCTCTGTTCACGTGCCACCCCGATTGCTCGTCCCAACGATTTTATAGAACCAGGACACTCCTTACGAGCCGCAACGATATGCTCAATATCACCAGGGGAAAGCAACGGCCAACGTAAATAAAACAGAAAGCAGATTGTGAGACTTGAACCAAGGTAATTTATTTGTACGTAAAATGCAGTGGCGTTGCACGGTGCACTGAACGACCAAGGTGAAAATGTGTGGAAGCAACGTGCCTCAACGTTTAGTAAAACAAGAACATGATGTTAAACACAAGCGAAAAAGCAGAATCAGTACACCATTGTAGGCGCTAGATGATCGGTACCCCGTAATAATGCGTGTATTTCGCAAACGACCGCTTGTACGAAAACAGGACGAGGCAAGTCACAAAACGGAGGCCGGATATATTATGTAAACCTGCCGAGCCAATGAAGGAGGATCGGAAGCGTGAGTAAGCGTGCGAAAAGTGAAAGCAAACACTCGCTTGCCAAAGAGGTGGGCTTGGTGTGGTTCAGCAATGAGATGCACAGGAGGAAGTGTACATGTAGAATGAGAGTTGCTTGGTCACTACAGAGCTCCTCCTCTAGAAGACTAGAGAGCCTTCGATAAGGGTAAACGCACCGTTTGCCGTGGTTTGCTAGTGCAACAAACGGATTGCTTGATGCTTTGCTACGGAAATAATAGGAAGCAGCGTTCAAAATAGTTCCGGTTGATGCGACATGGGATGCTGGTCCACAAAAGAAATATGGGGTGATGAAGATGCGATGGATAATCTTCTGAAGACCCGTCGTCGTTTTTCTGCTTGCCCCGTTTTGGTTTATCTTCAGTGAAACAAATAGGAGGAGCGTCACAGCTGGGCACGAGCCAGTAAAAGAATAACCATGGCTGTCCGATAAAGGTCTTCAGTGCTGGATCGATGAAAGGGGTGGGAAAGGTACCAATCTTCTTTTTGCTGCGTACTCCTAGAAGACGTTTTTTTCTTCAGTTCAGAGGTCGCTGAGCTTTCCTGGCCGAAGATTTCCTCGAGAGTTTTGCGGTCGCTGCATTCTCTTGGCCTTAGTATTCCTCCCGAGTTTTGAGATTAGAACCTGGAAGAGAACGGAAGATCGAAGTTCGAAGGAACCCTTGTTGCAGCGGATCGATTAGGCAAAGACAAACACAATAAAAAAGATCACGGCGTTTTGGTTGTTTTTTAATAGTTTTATATAAACGCATATAGAAAACATGAATAATGGTGGAAAAATGAAAATGACAAAATGATTTTTTTTTTGGTTTTTGGTTTTATACACATATGAATACATAGGTGGAAGAAAAAATCTAAATCGCAGTTTAAATGTGTCTCTACGCTGGTGAGTGTAAAAGAATTTCTACGAGGCAAGACGTACAGGCGGCTTAAGCACTCTCCCGCGACTAGTCATCCGATTTTGAGGGTTGCGATCAGGTGCCTGCTCGAAGGGTGTAGTGGGGTTCATCGGGACGGAGGGAGAAAGACCATTTGTTATGGGAGTTACAGGTGGTCATATGTGTGATGGTTGGTCATCAGCGGAGGTGACGTTTTCCGCCAAGTGAGCCTGGTTGAGCCGGTCAATGCGGACGGTCTCGCTTTTGCCGCTGCGCTCTATTACGTAGGCCTCGTTTAAACGTCGCGGTAAATGTTCGATGCGTAGAGTTGACTGTTTGCGCAGTCGCTCGATGTCAGTGTCGCCGGTTTGCGTCTCGATCGGCTTTTGTGAACACTAACGTTTTAGTCTCACCTCTAAGTATATCAGTGAGTGACTTCATGAGCTATGCACACTGGGAGATGAAACGACAATAAAAGTTGATTAAACTGTCGAAACGTCGGAGCTGCTTAAAAGTGGTAAACTCTGGATAGTATATTGCCGCCTGAATTTTTTCACTTATTGGCTGTGATACGGTGATCGAGGAAATCAATGTTGGAGGCACCGAAGACATTTGTGTGTGTTGACTGTGACACCATGCTGTACCAAATGGTTGATAAGCTCTTGGAAGTGTACCAAATATTCCTCAGGCGATGAGCTGGCCAGGGAGATATCGTCCAAATAAACAAAAACAAAGTCTAAACCTCTATAGACGTTGTCAATGAAACGTTGCAAAGACTGTGCTACGTTTCTTCAACCGAATTCGTAAAGATCAAATGGTGTGACTACAACTGTTTTTGGGATGTCGGCCTCTGCTACAAGTATCTGGTTGTATGCGCGAACTAGGTTAATGCGGCTGAAAACGGTTCTGCCGGCTATGTCCGACGTGAGATCCGTGATATGAGGAATCGAGTGCCTGTCCGGGGCTGTCACGCAGTTGAGTACGATATAATTTCCACATGGATGCCAGTCGTTGGACGACTTCTTGGGGACAAAATGGAGAGGGAACGCCCATGAACTTCCGGAGGGACGTATGATGCTTGTGTTCAGCATGTGCTGAATCCCTGTGCGTGCGGTGCACAACTTATCTGGGGCTAGTCGACGGGGCAGTGTGTAGTAACATTATTTTCATTTTCTATCGCCATTCCCGTGATCAATGTTAAGACCCTATTTTGTTCTATTGTCCTCCGTTTCGAGAACTCTTATAACCTCGACCCTGACACAATTTCCGGTGAGTTGTATCTTGCGCTTTGCTCTCCGTACATTTTCTGCTGCAGGTCACATACATTTCATACGCTCGTACCCGGCTTCCTTCTCAATTCGTTCTTACCTTGGGAAACCTCGTCATAAGCCCCAACGATTGAATACGTAGACGCGTCATAGCTTCAGCCCAATAGTATCCGTGCTAAATTGATGAGCCCGAATTTTTTTAACCCAATTTTTACCACCCAACGGCTGATATTTTTCAGTGAGTCTGGTGCTCCGCACAAACAATTTTAATTTTGCGTATTTTTGCGTATACGTTTATTATTTATTTTACATTTTTGACGATTTCATTACAAATATCACTTTTATTCTCCACGTACCTATTTCTGTCGTCGCAAAACTACGTCTTTCGGATTTTGCGTTTCGTAGCTATTGATATCGTCGAGATTTATTTTGTTCATTCGTTTTTCGTGTACCAGTGTCCTCAGATCTACGTTCATTCGGGCTTGATATTATGCATTTACTTATTTACTTGAATACTCAATCTGTGTCATCATGTTTAACTCATATCCTGAGGGTAAAGAGAGCATTACTAGCGCACCACAGGACGAGAGAAGCGTGTTGGGTCTGCAGGCGCGTATACCCGAGTTTATCCCTGAAGACCCCGGGTTTTGGCTAGCCCAGATGGAAGCCCAGTTTAAGCTAACCGGGGTGACTAACCAACTAGCTAAGTTCACCCAACCCGTGGGTTGCCTCCCGAGGTCTATGGCTCCGGGATTACGGGATATCGTATGTAAGCCGCCTACCGATCGTCCGTATGACGCACTACGTGATGCAATACTAGGCCTTTTCGGCATGCCGATGGAGTGCCGTCTTAAGCAGCTCCTCGGTGGCCTGCGCCTCGGCGACAATGGCTTAGACACACCCACGAAGCTAAAGAGTTACATGCAGGGGCAGTCTACGTCCACCAATTCGCGCTTGAGTGACGCGTAGCCGAACCGATACGAATCCCGAATTAAAAAACACA